CACCACCATGAGCCCACCTCCTCCTCCTCTTCCACTACCACAGCCAAGCCCCAAGGGCCACACCAGCAGCCCGGAGGCATGCCACAAGGGCTGCTCTGCTTCACATGCCAGGAAGGAGCGGGAGGCCAAGGCACACTACAGCTGGCCCAAAACCAAGCTGTTGGCCAGCTCCCCTTCTCTCCCTCCTGGCAGCCCAGCCCAGCTGCATGGACCCCTGCCAGCCCATAACCTGTGCTCCTGCTGCCCTGCTTTGGGCTCCACCGGCACTAGCCCTGGGACACCGGTGCAGGCCCCGCGTTCCTCTCACTGCCACTGCTCCCTGCCACCGCTTTCCCCACATTCCTGCCCACCTGCTATCTGCTGTGCACCACATGGCTCCCATACCCACAATACCATACCAACACACACATCCCCGACCCCCCCGCACACCCCCCCATGGGCTGCTGGGTGAAATGCAGAAAGTTGTAATCTCCCTTGGGAATACTGAGGCTTCACTGCTAATGCCAAATCCTTTTGGCTCCATGAGTGTCCTGTAGGGGCTACTCCAAGAGATTAATAAGCCATCCTGGAGCATGCTCATTCATCTCTATAATTGTCCTTTCTTCTAATACACCCCACCCCGCCCCACCCTAAGTGTATAAATCTGCCCTCCCCCACTTTCCCTATATTACAGCATTTAAGAAAATAAACTTGTGACTTCTGAATAAGCCTCAGTTTTCTGGTGGGAGGGCTGGTTTGTCTTGTTGTCAGAGGTGGCCACAGAAAGGAGGGAATGAGAGTTTGCTCAGCACATTTTGAATATGCTTGTTACTTACTGAATTTCTAAGGGGTGGAGGAGGTTGGGGGCAATGTGTGTAGGTAAGGGAGTGTGTGTCCAAGGAACTGAAATCCAAACCACCCCTTTCCAAGAGGGGAGCATGGGTGCAGATCAGTTAAGGTCCCCTGATGTCTCTTCACAAGCTTGACTTCAAAGCCTGCTTCTCAAATGGAGTTCCCATTCAAATGGAGCATGTTTATGACATACTCTTATGATCCTGATTTTGACGTGTAACTTGCGGTAATATTGTTGGTGAGTGCAAACCCCAATAAACCACGGAACCAAAGAAATCAAGAGCATATAAAAGGATGAAGGTGAAGCAGAAAAAGGCAGATGTGAAGAACCTTGCTAAGTCCTGGGAAAAATGGCTATCAAAAACAGAATGATAAGAGCCTTCTGTCATGTTCTAATATAGAAACAAATGAGTTAGAGCCAGGTGAGCAAGAAGAACCAATAGTGGTAGAACCAAATGAGCAAGAAGAGACATGAAGATCAGAATTGAACTTTTGTGTTAAATATTCTGACAAAGAGGGAAATATTGGCATTATTAACAACCTACAGATAGAAATAACAGTTGCATCTTGTCCTGATATAGCCATACATTTCAGTGATCCAGCAATGTAGCAACACCCTTATGCACGTAATTTCATTTCTACAATAGTAGAACATGGTCCTGAACAAGAGATCAAAGCCAATTCTTCTCAGTCAGTGACAGAAGATGGGAGGCACTTCAGTAAGGAGTGGGTTAACAAGATTCTTTCAAATGGAGATATAGTTGAAAGGAAATGGCTTCTATATAGCAAAACTAAAGGAGTTGTCTTTTATTTCCCTTGCTTTTTCCATACAAACTCAAATAACCCCAGTCATAGAAAAACTAGCAAAAGGATTCTGCAACTGGAAAAAATTAAATCCTAGAATTTCTGAACATGAAAATTCCACAGAATGAATTGGAAAGACTTTGAGAAGTGTGTGATTAAGAAGGAGGGTACACGATTAATGATGAACTCGAAAAGGCTATTTCAAAAGAAAAGAAAAAATGGAGGCATGTTCTGAAAGTTGTAGTTGATGCTATTATCTCCTGTACAAATAATAATCTTGCTTTAAGGGGTTCAGCTCATGTGATTGGTTCTTCAAATTCTGGGATGTTTCTTAATGTTGTTAATCTGATCAGTAAGTACAATAATAAAATTGCTGCTCATATTGAATGTAGTGGGCCAATAGGGGACGCTTCTGCCCTGAGCCACTCACTTCACTGTGCCCGCCCAAGAACAAAGTTTCAAATGCCTTCCCTGGGGCGCCTACGTCCAGCCGAACCCTTTCCTAGAGCACACCCACAAGCCTGGGGTAACCGCTGCCACCACCCAGGGTCTGGTCTTTGTTAGGGCTCTGTGCCACCTGGGGTACATAGACCTTGTAGACCTTGTGGGTGCTTAAGCCATTGTGAGATGCTGGCGTGATTCTTTTAGGCTGAAGCATTCACAAGCTGCCTCCTGTACAGGAGGAATGTAAAAAGCCAAGCTCATCTTAGCCAGCCTAGAAAAGTAAGCCGACAAGGCTGGTCCCTTCCCTCTTAGGCACACACTACTGATCCCTTCCCTCTTAAGCACACGCTGTGAGATAGATTTAGTGATCAAAGAGGGATAGGATGAGAAAGGGCTATAAAACACCAGAATATAGAACGAAAGCTACCCTTGAGCAAAACAGCGTAGGCTTGTTACCTTTTGATATACAACTAAAACACTTTATTCTAAATTCCTAGCTAAATTTCAGGTAATTTACTTACATCTACATCCAGAGAATTGTGGAGGTCCATACCTTGATTCAGTGACCAAAAAATGTACCCCCTATCTAAGATGGAGGGACACTTTAAATAATCTTTTTGACCCACTGGACCCAGCTGAAATCAGGTATTTTCTGAGCGGGACTGACGCTGGCCAGTCTGTTTGAAAAACATCAGCACTCACCTCGAGAAGTGACCACTGCCTTAGGACCGCCCCTCCAGCTAGAAGGCGGGAAGGCTACACAAAGGACCTAGACACAGGAAGAGGGAATTCCCTTCTGCTTAGGGGATCCCCTAGGTAGCCAGGTTGGTAGATACATGGGCAGAGAGAGAGAGAGAGAAAAAAAAGAGAAAAACAACTAATCCAAAAAGAGGGGGTTGGTATGAAGTTTTCCACACTGAAAATATGAAGAAAGGGCTCACAACTATATCATATTTTCACCTGATATTCAAAATGAAATGATACATTTACTGGGTTCAAAAGTAAGAGCAGAAATTGTTTCTCAGGTGTAGAAATCCAAATACTACTCATTGTCTTTTGACTGTACACCAGACGTATCACATAAGGAACAGATGACACAGATAATTCAATATGTAAAGATCTATGAATAGTACAGCATCAAAGAGAGTTTATTGACTATCCCTGTAACCATGGCATCATGCAAGCACAGCTTCAGCAAACTAAAATTAGTGAAAAATTACTTACTATCATCCATGGGCCAAGAAAAACTGTCTAATTTAGCAATTTTGTCAAACAGAACATAACATTGCTAACTCATTAAAATATGATGATGTTATAGATGAATTTGCAATACTGAAAGCTCGGAAAGTATGTTTTTGAATTGTAATTTTTGTATACATGGTAATAAATGTAATATTTTTCCTATTTGGCACACAGTTAAAATTATTGGTTTTGGAATTATTAAAGTTTGGGGGTGGCATTTTTTGATTGTGCCCCGGGCACCAAACTTCCTTGCTATGACACTGAGCAGGGCTCCCAAGGGAATGCCAACAGGGCAGAGACCCCAAGCCCACAGAAGGCAGCCCACCTCTGCCCTTGCCCCATGCACAAATCTGGGGATGAACATGCACCCCATGCCCCTCCTGAGGTTGCGGGAAGAGGCAGGGAGCCATCCCGCTCCCTCCCCGGACTCCCAGAATGAGCTGCCCTGGCCCTGGGGTCCCATTCAACACCCCGGCTGGGAAGACTCCCAGCCCCAGCCCCTTTTCCTCCCTCATTTTGGAAGCCTTGATCTGCAACCCCATTCCCCTTCCCTCCCCTCCAGCCCTTCCCCTCCACAGACTTGCCTGCAGAGCACAGCCCTCCATGCTGCCCAGCTGCACATGGCATCCAGGTGTCCCAGCCAGAAGGCATGTTGTATTTATCACTACATTATTGGCCACACCGGCTAAAAAAATTCAGTAGCTAATAGTGCTAATTTTCCTTTTATCAGTGCTGATTCAACATGGCACCGATATTTTGGTGCACCTCTAGTATTTTGAGCTATGATGCAATTGCCTCTAGATACATGATACAAGCACACATAAATCAGGACAAAAATATATGTATTTAAGACAATTAAAGTAAGTTTTGGTGGATGTTTGATCGCTTTGGCATACAATTTGGTTTCTTTTTTTCTGGTTTCAAGATGGCAGCACCCTCCCTTCCAAAAGGAGTACTCCTGGGACAAGGAGGGGGACTTCTAGTGGCAAAGATCAGGGGTTAGGGGTGGGACTTCTGGTCCCAAACTGGTGACTAGGGGGTGGGGCACCCATCAAGGGGTCGGGCTAACCTTGTGACCCTCCCTGGGCTTGCCTAGCAGGGGTCAGACATGGCTGATCTTGCCCTGAGCTGGGGCTGGACTAGTTGGAAAGGAGGGGAAAGAGCCTCTGGTCCTTAACAGTTTGGGGCAGAATCAGATCCTGCTTGGGCACCGCAGGCCCCGGGAGAGGGTGAGTGGGGGGGCAGGATCTGACCCAGGGTCCCTTGCCAACTCCATGCACAGCATCAGTCACAAGTGGCTTTGTGATGTCACGTTTGTGTCATCCATCGCCACAGAGATTGGGGCAAGGCAGAGAATAAATTCTAGCACCAGGTGCTTGTCTGATCAGTCTCCGCTCAAACAGGAGACTCACTGGTTTGGTAACAGTGGATAGACTTAAAAGAAGATAATAGATAGATAGATAAGAACATATAGATATTAGATAGAAATAATAAAGATATTGGATAGACAGGAATATAGGTATAGTACATAGTGGTGGCCTAGCTTTACCGCTCAGGGCACCTGGACCCTGGGCCCCATGCCCATGGCAGAGCCATTCAGGAGGATCATCCCGGGCTGGGAGCAGGGAGAAGCCAAAAAGATGGCCCTGCAAAGGCCCTCTGGCCTGGCTCAGCTGCCGTTGATGCCCTCAGCGCAGGAACCCCGGCAGGCAAAAAGTCTTCTCAGCCCCACGATTATGGTAGGTGATGGGCTCTGAACTGCCAGAGTCCTCCTGCTCCACCTGGGCACAGCCTGAGCAGAGCTCTCCTGGGACCAGCAATGCTGCTGCCTATTGCCAAGCCGAGCTGTGGGGGTGGGAGCCTGGCAGTGGGTGCTGGGGTGGGGGAAGGGGTCACTGTTGAGCATCTCTCCTTTTCCTCCAGCTCTCCCAGCTGAATAAAGCAGGAGGATTGTGGGGGCAACTCGTTCCGCAGCCTCCTCCTGGCCTGCCCGAGGCCAACAGAATAGTGATCCAGGTGCAGGCGCCGCTCCTGGACAAGCCACCAGCTTGCCAGCGAATCAGGGATAGTGTGGGCCCAGGCCCAGTGCCTGGGGGTAGGAGCCAGGTGAGTGGCTGTGAGGGGGTGGCAGAGCCATGCTACCAACCCTCTTTCCCCCCAGGCTTCAGAGACGCTCAGTCCCTACACTCGGTGCCAGTCTCCAGCGCTTGTTCTGTGCCAAAGGACTGAGTGGACTGGGGCTGCTCGAGGGCTGTCCTGAGTTTTGGGAACTGAAGCCTCTAGCCTGCCTGGGGGATCAATGGGGCCTGTTGCATCCCCAGCACCCCTCTCCCCCTTGCCCCCCCACCCCTCC